TTTAGCCTACCCGTTTCGAGCTCAACAATTCAGCATTCATAAAGCGATAAAATGGACTACTTATTGAAGGAAGTTCCGATAACCCAATTTTATTTTCCCACCTCTATTTTAGCGGTGTTTCATTTTCCAAACATACACAAAAACCTTCATGCAATCATTGATGTTAAGTACTCAAACGTTGTACGACCTTTTGTTGTGCAACAAATACGTGGCTTGGTGACATGACCGTCAGTGGGCAAGCTGACCATCGGGCCCCTTCGTCTTCAGAGGAGCCTCGATGCTACGGCCCGAGCACTCCACAAGGGGCGAATTATTTCTACACAAATCTATTTGGCCTTTGAATGAAATTCTTAAAAGTTCTTTGGCATTACTGTATCAGTCGTGCACCTTGCATGCCTCCTCTTTCTGTAGATTCGCTTATACATCGAATGAATTGGCTGCAATGCTTGAAATAAAGGCGGATAATTCTTATGTAAAAAGAAGGTCTGAAGGTAGTCAGAAGTACCACTTTAGGTATCGCACTACGTCATGATTAAGGCACATACAACGCCAAGTGCTGTTACGGATTGGTTATACCGCAGTTCGCAGGTTGCAAGATGTTACTCAATTTTAGCAGAGCCTGCTGCGCGCATCGTTTTGAAAAGTGCCATTTATAGTCTACGCTAATCACTAGCCCTCCCACCACCTGGAAACTTTCACCTGCAGATTAGTCGAACCATACCTAACTTATCCGAACATAGCAATAAAGTGGCAACAATCCGCATTCTAAGAGCTGGTTGGGTTCACAATACAAACCGCTTTTCGGTCGCTGAGGCTGCCTCACATCCTCCGTAAAGATGCTTCCACTTTTAATTGTATTGGGGCAATGTTTCGGTCATCTGAACAGTGCCCATTGGCTACTCTCTCATTTGACATACGCATTGCTTTCCTCGCACCTTCATTCACCAGAAACAAAGGCCGTTTAGTGCCATTCAACCGTTTTTGAGTAGACTTTACTTTGGCCTCCGGTTCTTACGTAGACGCAATTAGAAGCGTGTATTGTGTGCCCGACTCAGGTTCCTTCCTCTTGGCTTATTCAATGAGGACATTCTTTCTGTGTTACTTTATTTGGCATTTCAACAAGTTACAAGCTTGGAAAAGAACAATTCAAACAATTTTGATGATTTAAACCCACACTATAACTGCAGTAAGAGTCGACTAAAAGAGAGCCATAAAAGTTCCTTACTTTCTGATCAAACCAAGCATCAATCAGTTCATTCGATGCACACAAAAAATAAACGTCAACTCTGCTTTATTTAGTTTAATTTAATCTCGCTATTGCCTAAGGACAAACACGGTGCGCAGTACAGTTGCCAAATCAACTTTATCACTAAAATCACTCTCAAATGCTTTCACTTTGCCCATCAATTGTTTAGCAAAAAGGCACTCGCATACACTACGGCTGCTCTTTTCTCCTCGCCCCAAAGTCCCATCAGGCGTGTCGTGCGCCCTCCAAATTCAAGCAGGTCGTACTGCGCACCAGCGAGGATTAATTTGTTCAACAGCCCTTTACCATTTTCGGATAATTTTGTGGTACAAACGCTGGACTGCATTTCTTCCAATCCTTGTGACATGCATGTGACACCTCAATTCTTCTACTCGAGAAAACCTGACATTACGGACTGTCAGTATTGCAGCGGGGCAATTTGAGCAGCATCGTTTAGATGTTTCAATCATCACCAAGATTTTGACGCCGAATGTGTTAAGGAGGATGTCTCAATGAAACATGTTATTGTAAGCACTTGGGTGATATCGTCGAATCGGGGAAACTATCGTGCCTGTGGAAACAAGATAGCGTGGAAACAAGAATTTGCTGCATTCGCGTCCAAGGTGGTCGACTTTCAGTTAAGAGAGTGTGCGCAGTCCTTGTTAGTTTCACGGCGAATTCAGTCCTTGTTTCCGGTGAGGAGAATGGAGTTGAGGTGGTGCAAAATGGCAGTGTGAGGAAATAACTGTTTGATTTGGCCCATTCATTCTGTTGCCTAACAGCGTGCAACGCTGTAATCACTCCAATGCCAATCTTAAATCAACCTCTCAGAAAACACTGTGAGTGACAGCCACTATAAACCCATACAAAGGAATTACTTAATGAAATTGAATCTGTTAAAGAGTTATGAGAGGATCTAATTACTTTAGGTGAGGTGATTAAATGCGCGAATAGCATGTTAACTACTTGTAAATAGTCGCATTTTCCAAAATAGCAGTAACGATTCGTTGACCAAAAATCAAGTTCGCATTTCCCACTGACATTCGACCACAACAGTGTCACCTCCATGGATGTAGTAGAGGACTACGTAGCGCCACCTTAGGTGGGCATCGTGCAAATACTGCGACTGCGCTTTCCATCACTGGGTCGGTTTCTCCAACTCCAACCTTGCGGCGACTGCTCAACTTCACCCTCGGATCCCATTGTGGCCTATTTCATCAAAGGGCACTGATTTGGCCTCATTTTGGCATCCTTTGGCCTAACGGGCTCCGAACAATATTGTTTAGGCCTGTTGTAGGAGGGAAAAATATGATTAAGATTGCATTAATAGTTTCACAAAACACCAACTCTTGCGCAACTCGATTGCGCCTGCATCGGTCACAATAGTTGAACCAACGAGCCACCATTGAGCTTATGTGACGTTAGTCAAGGTGGGCGTGGGATTCGGGATCTTCAAATAGAGTAGATGAAGTGTTATTCGGTTTACATACACTACCAATTTGCATTGAACGAAGCCGTTTATGCTTATCTGCCATTCAAAGCATGAAGCCGATTTGCTTTCTAAGTAGGCGATTGGTATATCCTCAACTAACATTCCGAAACTGTTTCATCGTCAGAAAAGTTGTAAAGCGGTGCACTTCACAAATGGCAGGGTTTACACTTTCAAATGCCACTTCTCTGTCTCACATTTTGTGATCCAGAAAATTGTTGGCTCCAGTTTCACGCAAATAACCTTGCACGAGTAAACAAACTTAGGCGTCGACTTCCTTTGCTGGATCATCGCTTAATGATGCAGGAGGCAAATACAGGATTGTGTTTGTAGAAATACGTCACTCAGATGTGCTTACCGCAGGTTACATAGTTGTATCTCATGCCTCCTACAAAAAGTGGTGCAGGGCAAAAATTGAGGTTGAGCCAAAAAATGTGAAGAAAATGATTTGCCAACGGTCCACAGCTGCTCCAATCTCTGACCGAGAGGAATGTCCGAAGGCAATCCTTCATCCGTCGCCAGACTATACACCAAGTGTTAAATCTCTTATAAATGTGCCGCACACATACGGAAACAAACTGTAGCGTGGTCTTCACGACCTACTTTGCTATGTGCTAGCATGCATGCTCATGTACCAAAGTATTTAATGGTAACGCCTAGCTGCTTATCCCTCAATGCTATTCAGTGGTCTGATTTCTTCAGTGACGAAGGCGCCAATAAGTGCTGGCGGGTCAAGAGTCAGCGCGGGATGTCATTGAGTTAGTAAGGCTTTTAAAATGCACATTATTCAAATGCTGGAGACGATGTTAATAATTCGTCCATCTTACCACAAATTAACTTTCACTATCATCTGCGCTTGATTATTTCACTCATGTAGATAAGGATGAAGTACTGAATGTCAGAAGAACATATTAAAACGTACTTTACAACCACATTAGCCGTAACTTTGGCATTTGGGAAGTGGCAAAGCGTTCATGTGGGCGAAGCAGCTGTGCCTGTGACTCCACAACAAATTCATACCATATTGGGATTGCAAGTAGTCCTTCATGAAAGGCCTGAATTGATAAATTCGCATAGAGGAAAGGATAATCTACATACCGTTAGCATATTCAAAGGCCTGTGGCTTATGAATATTAACTTCTCCGGGAGAGAGCAGTTAAAAAATGAATATTTACATACGTATTGTCTGCGCACCATTGAAGCTCGGATGGCTACCAACATGGAGAAATTGCAACTCCAATTAACGCTCTACCCTTGAAGACACAATGAATTCAGTCTTTAAGACAAGGCGTCAATCTCTACAATACCCGACATACTGGTACTCTGAGATGTTGCACTTCCACTATGCCACAATAATGCGCCCGACTTTGTGCTCGGATTAAGTATCCAATGCTCTGAAATAGTTTGTCAAGTCACGAAGACATCCGAGAGGTACCTATCAACGCATCATCTCCTGAGTACTCCCATAGTCAGTGGATGGTTTTCGAACTAGAGTATACGACGATTGATACTCACCTCGCTATCTCATCATCCTTATCTCACGGTGCATTGATGCCCGATTAAGCTAATTCAACTCCTCTTTCGGATTATATTATGCACCTTTACCTGCATTTCTTATGAAACTCAGCAATTGGTTTTCGACAATCCCAACTCTCAATTCTCTGCTGATGTTTTATGGTAAATACGACCTCCCGGACAAATCTCACACTGTTCTGTGATTTTATGCCACAAATACTCTAAGTCATCCACACGTTTCTTAAAATCCAAAGCTCGCTTCTATTAACAACATGAGACTCTAGGAGACACACATAATAACACTATTGCCCTGATCTTCCTAGTGCCGTCATACAAAACCCAATTTCGCATGGTGACAAAGTCGAGCTTCGATAACCCTCAGACGACAGCGTAGCATTCCAAACGACTTTGCTGAAATTTCAATACTGACTATTTCCAGGTGGCCAATTACAATAACGGAACAATAACCAACCGAAACACATAGCATCGTCACAGGCAATACAATTCGTGTGGAAAATCCTCAACCACCATTTGGAAATGCGCAGACCATCCTCTGTAATTAGTGCTGCTAACGAACCAAAGCAATATACTAAGTTTGTGCCATTCATTCTAATCTCATCGCTTGCACTACTGAGAATAAATTCTCCACAAGTTCAAATAAATATATAACGGAAAACGTTTATTTCTAAAATGCGACAATACAAAATATAAGATAACAAGCTCGTCACAAGCAACAATTTCTGTACTGCTTCACCTAGTTCTCTTAGGTTTACGTTTGTCATTCCGATGGGGATCTGATTCTGAGCTTGAATCGCTCTCAGAACTATCGCTGTCAGAAGATGATTCGCTGTCACTTGAACTGGACGAGTCGTCTGAACTAGAAGACTCATCAGAAGTGGAAGAATCTTCGTCAGAATCTGAAGAGGAATCCTCAGAGTCGGACGACTCTTCGGAACTCGAGGACTCTGTTTCACTGGTCTCGTCGTCAGAGGATGAACTGACTTGAGATTTCTTCACGATCTTCTCATCTTCAGTGGTGGCAACACTTATTACATGGACAGGTACTTTGTTCTTTCTTGCCTTTCTACGTGCCTTGGCTTCCTTTCTCTGCTGCCGCTTTTGCCTCATTCTTAAAACCCACTTGGCTGTCATTGTCCTCGTATGCAATCTAGATACAAATTTGTGAAATATTTTAACTAATGCCTCCCTTAATTTAGGATGGAAGGACAAAAGGTATGCAGAAAACCCACGTACCTAGTGGTGCAACGCAGCGACTCAACATTGCTGCCCTTAAATACTGATGATTTCACGATGGTTAATACTACGATTTTATAAATATAAACAAAGTGTAGGACGAACATAGTCAGACTTATTTAATCGAAAAGTGTATTAAACCTCGTGCTCAGTTGGAAAGTTTTACTTATGTCGTGTTAGCTAAAAGCTTTGAGAGCAAGTTGAGCACTGCCATATTTAGAGTCCCAACCCCAGACACTACTACATGGTAGCGCATTTGATAGATAAAGCACAGAAACAATCTTTATCTGTTTAATATATGCAAATGTATTCAAGTTTGCCGCTGTAATGGACAGGTAGAAAAGCAGTTTGAGAACGGATCCAATTCGTGAGTAGCGTGAAGACTAGTTGTTAGGTTGACATCAACTTTCGTTCTTGTCAATTCTTCCCTCCCAACTCCTTTGGTTCTGCTTATGATGCATAACTCAGCTAACTCTCCTAGAATCCTAGGTTCAGGTGTCTAAGGGTAGTCAGGCAGGTTCTACAACCTATGTTATAACTTGACGATATGTGCATAATTCGCTGCGACAAGAACAGCATTATCCTCTGGTCTGTTGGTAGCCTATTGAGCATAAACTTTTTACTTCATCCCCCTGTAGCGTCCCGAGACTTCCTAGACAATATAAGAAGGCAGTAAGTGCATCCGTATACATGTATTCCGAAGACGACAGGGCAAAAAGGCCTGAGCATGGCCCGAAGACCAGCCCACGTATACAAGGGCCAGACAAATACTAAATTGACCACCATACATCATGTGGTCACGTAAACAAAGCATTGCACCACCATCCAAAGCTCATTATTTGGTGTTATTATTGCAATATATACTAGTTTGTTCAAGTGGACTTTTATAGGCGAGAGGAGAATTAATCGTGAACGGGGATCACGTGCAGGAACTCGGCGAGGAGCTCCCCTCTGATTGATATCCCCAACTCTGCTCATCTATATCACATTTCCATCCTCCCTAATAGCTATGCCTAATGAAGCCTCTCCAAACAACAACCTCTTGAAATCTGAGAACCAAGGACCAGAGGGAAGACATGTGGTCCCTACAATTATATCCACTATAGCAGCCGAAGTGGTTCTCTTAGGAATTAAAAGGCGTAGTAACACTTGGTTGAGGGCTTGCATTCAGAATTTAACTCTGGCCTCTCGAGCCTTCATAATGATAGCTGAATGCATAAGACAGAGCTGAAAACTTCTGTTCTGACAAAAGAAATAGCTATGAAGTTTTGGTATGGTGCGAAGTTTAAGCCCTGATCCACTGGTAGACGATTATTAGTCGTTTTGCATCGTTGATTCTCCTTGGCTCAGATTTATTGTACCTTTTACAAATTCTTCCTTCTTTCTACCGACATATACGATACCGTCAAAGGAGTAACTCCGTTAAATTTCTTCGTTTCCTTCCGTTCTCTTAGATTTTATTTATCGAAAATTGGTCATTTTCAACGCATTTACCGTCATAGATGAATACACGTATTCCAGGCAGAGTAAAGGGATTAAGCCAGAACTCGGCTTGTATGTCAGCTCACGTGTACAAGTCAGACGGCGCTATTGTATTTTGTCGTCTTGCTTAACCATTCATGCCGCTGCAATGAAAATGGTATTTTCCACCAACTTCACTGCTGCAGGCTCAATGAATAACAACAAATTTAACTCCGCTCCACAACAAATACATTTATACCGCTTCACATATCGAAGTGTACGGATACAAAGTTCAGTGAGTGAATGTTGAAGCGATGAAACCTTAGTTTCCGCACCTTCACATAGTCTTCAGTTTAGGCATTGGTTTTATTATTGATTTAGACCATGCTTTTTCCTCGATTTTGTCTTTATCATTGCCTTATTTATAATCATTGCCGTTGGCCTCAGAATCGTTAATTTCTTCATGGGAAACCTCATTAAAATTAACACTGGTTTCCATCTGGGTCCTTTACTGTCCTCACATGAAGAGCATCGTCATCACCGATCCCTTCCTCCTCTTACGCCAGTTCTGTGTGTTTTGAGAGTTTGCGCTTTGACTTCACATTTTTATCCCTACCTCGCACTTTGGAGCCACCAATCTTGTTATGCCGGTTTGCCTCAGAGGCCTTGTCGACGGAGGCAACATTTTCCCGGGCTTGTGCCCATATGAAGCTCACCTACCCCTTATTTGGTTGACTCCCCTCTTCGTCTCCCTTTCCGCGTTTCCCGATTCTCAAGTATTTTTATCATGAGTCTCAGGGACAATGGAAACTTGGTTACTGTAACTATGCAACTTCATCGGTAATCGCTATTATTATCACAATAGAAGTGACAAAGAATGATGTTCTCAACAATGACGTATGGACGAGAATGAGCCAGATTTACCTGTAAACTCAATTAGGTGGTTCCACATCTCTACCTTTAAATAGTCGTTTTGTGTTAATCACAGCAGAATGGTTTCACGTATTAAAACTCCCAAGGCCAAAGTGACACCTCGAGTTAATCACTTGTATTACTAGTAAGCAAGTAGTGAGCTACACTTGTCAGATAACAGTGGCATTCAAGTTGACAAGTGTTAGCCAGTGGTTGGTGTGCAAAGACACAAGGTTGGGCATACGTAATTACACTCCATAAGTTGGGTATTTCAAAAATACAACCATCACACAAATACACATCTGATGTAGCTAACTTCTAGATGCATACAAACATTTAATGGCAGAATCCTTAGAAATATGGTTGTGGCATGCCAAGACTTTCGTGAAAAAAGAAAGACACTATTTGGGAAGGAGATGTTCGACGAAAAAGACGGAGTCATGTCATGCTACAAAAACAATGTAACTATCTAAGTGCCCACACACCGAACTGAGAGTCAAATAAACAGCAACGAATCACTTCAACAAATATCAAATAATAATAAGTTTCTCTCCCCCCCCCC